TGCCAGAGAGGGTGGCGGGGCAGAAAGCGGAGTGTGGAGCCGGGAGCCCTGACGAGCATGTCCGGGAGGAGGGCCGGCAGGAGCCACAGGGCGGCGGGTGCGTGCACACGTGGGGCACGGGACACGGCCCTGCCGTCGTGGCTAGAGCGCAGCTGGCCTCGGCCACCGCCGCACCTCACAGGGCTGCGCGCGGGCTGACGCCAGCTGTCACACGCGCGTGCACGGCTGACTTCCCCAGCAGAAGCCGCCGCGCCCCCGAGTGTGAGAGGCCTCGTCAGAGTGGGGCGGGGCTCCGGTTAGTGAGCGGCCTGTGGTTCCCCAGGCTGCCCAGGTGCCTGCACCCCTCTCATGAGGTGCTGACACTCCGACCAGAGAGGGGAGGCATCCACAGCCCCTCCCCACGAGCATAAGGGGCACCCCCCTTATGACAACACAGCCTCAGGAAGCCACGCCGTGCCACCCGGAGCTGAGGCCACACCACCGCTACCGCTTCCTCCAAGCTCTCGGGACCCCGGTAACCAGCCACCATGCTGCAGGAAGCCCAACCAGCCCGCCGGGGGAGGCCCACGTCAGAGGAACTGAGGCCACCAACCACGAGCTGGCACCAAGCCCCAGTAGGGGGAGGAAAGGAGCCTCCCGTGACCCCCAGATGTCGAGGTGTTTCCTCGACAATGAGCCCCGGTGGCCCCCTCCCCGCCCCTCCAGACAGACGTCCTCGGCAACAGCTGGCTGGGCACAGCGCCAGCCTGGGCCCTGCCAGCCCTCGTGTCGGCTCTGTCTGGGCCACGCCAGCTGCTAGTTTTAACTCTGCCCTACTGCCCAGGCTCCGAGGGGAAGGGACCAGCCAGGGGCGCGCCACGGCCGCAGCAGCCCCCTCCGTGGCCCCGAGGCAGGGCGCCAGCTGCGCCTTGACACATCTTATTCACCCACTTGCGCCAGGAACGCGAGGTGTGGAGGTCCCTGAGACCCGGGGCTGGTGCTGCAGTGCAGGTGATGTGAGATTGGCAGGCTCTCTGCAGCCCGGCCAACAGCTCAGAGTTCATTTCCAGAAACCCCCTTGAGGCAGTCACGCCCATCAGCTAACCATGCCTCGTGTGTATGTGTGTACGGGGCCCACCCTGGCAGGTTTGGCAGGTGGGGCCCCACCCGACCCAGGCGAGCCTGGGCATCCTGGAGGCCAGGGTGCAGGCAGGTGCCCCTTCCTCCCAGCCCTCCACCGCTCTACTGGGAACCAGAGTTAGAGGCTCACTGACCGCCCCCACACTGTTCCCGACACATGACACACGTGGGCCCCCCGGCCCAGGGCCTTCGCAAGGGCCACTCCCTGTGTGTGCGTGTGTGTCGGGGCCGCTCCGGTGTCAGGGCAAGGTGGGGAGGCCTTCCCGCCACGCCAAGCGAACTCCTCCGCAGCGCTCACCACCTCCACAGGGACGCTACTTATCCCCGGGGCAGGGGCGTTGGCTGCTTGATTCCTTTCCAGCCTGCGTGAAGGGCGGTGACTGGTGCAGAGCAGATGCTCAGCCCAGGTGTCTTGAGGGGAGGAGGGAAGAAACAAATGCACCCAAGCCCAGGGGAGGGCGGGAGGACGGCGGCTCAGCTGAGACTGGCCGGTGAGGGCGGGAGAGGTGCCAAAGGCAACCAGCTGGGTGCTGTGCCTTGGGCTCAGGCGGGCGAGGTGGCGGGCAGGCTTCCTCCCATCGGTGACAAGCAGGGGCCGGGGCGGGGGGGGGGGGCTGGGCGGGAGGGGA